AAACTAAACTAATATCTAAATATTAAACTAAATAAACTAATAATAATAACTAAAAATAATAATAAGTAATAATAATAATAAACAATAATAACTAAACTAAACTAATAAGTAAACTAAGCTAATAAAATAGCTAAACTAAACTAATAATAAATAACTAATTGAAAACTAACTAAACTAATAATAAATAAATTAAATAATAATTTTTTTTTGGGACATTTTGATCATTTAAGGCAAACTCACACATACAACGCATACACATAGACTCGAACCCTAGACCTCTTAGTTGGAAGCCTAAGCTCTCAACCAATAGGCCAAAGAGAGTTGTGTAATTAAATAATAATAACTAATAATTAAACTAAACTAATCTAAACTAATAAATAATAATAACAAACTAACTAAATAAACTAAACTAAACTAATAAAAATAACTAAACCTAAACCAAAAACCCAAAAACCCAAAAACCTGACCGGAGCGGCTGGGCGAAGTTCTTGGAGCGTCTGCAAGCGATTTTCGTCTTCCTTGTCGGAGCGATCGGATTTTGGTAGTGAAACTGATTGGTTTGCGATTTCTTTCTCCTTCCTCCTTTCTGATTTCTTATTTTGGATTTAGTTTGGTTATGTCGTCGGGCCCTTTTGGGGTTTCGACGGAGGTTTGCGATTATGAAGATCCGGCTCGGATCTTTGTAAATAGAGATAAAACTATGGATAAAGAGTATTTTCTTGTTTCAATCACTCGATTGAACTTATGGAAGGAATTAAATCATCTTCTAAGGATGAGTTTAAAGCGGATGGTACGATGGAATCGATTATTTTACCGAATATTCCTAAGAAGTTTTCCTTTCCCCACTCAACTCGATATATTGCTGCAGTCTTTGGAGATCACTTACTATTTCTATATATGGGAGTTGATTAAGGGAAGCTCGTCAAACCTTTTTTTTTTTAATTAAAGGAGCTATTTTTCTGTGCAATTGAGCTCAGGTGGTTTCTTGGCGATTATGTTCTCTATGGTTCTGTTTTTTGATGAAACATAGGATTCCTATCCGACATTTTTCAAATGAGGAAGCTGGGAATAAATTGTCGTTCCTCCTTAGCTGCTTTAGAATTTCTGGCGGTATTTACCCTTTTTATGTATAGAGAGCATATAGGTTAAGTGAATAACAAGAACTCATTAATTCTTACCTTTATTCTTTTTTGTATGGGAGGTATTGTCATCATATCATCGAGCTAGTAATCTTGAGATAGAATGAACAATAGTATACATGTGAAAAGGTTGGAGTAGCTCATATGACACATAAGATTAGAGAGAGTCGCCTTCGATAGTTTGGTCACATAAAATGCAGGCCTTCTGATGCCCGGTTAGAATAGTAGATATCTTAGAGCTGGCCTATGTTAAGACAGGGAGAAGTACACCTAAAAATACTTGGTTATAAAATATAAGAAATGACCGTTTTTTGTGAGATTTAAATGAGAATTTAACACTTAATATGACACAATGGAGACAAAGGATTCATATAGTTGACCCCACGTAATAGAATAAAAACTTGGTGTTGTTGTTGTTATTGTAGACTTATAAACCTCCATAAGATTCTAATCACTCCTGTCTCAATCAGGAGGATGGGCCAACTCAAGTGATACATGTGCAACTTGATCCACCAGTACTCTAAGCATGGATTACTCTAATAGACAAACGATTCAGACATATTTTCAATAGCCTAAGAATCATTTATGGAATTGAAGAGGGAGCTTTAAAAGGGCAGAAGAAATGCCAAGTCTACAAGCAAACAGACCAAAAGTAAGCAAAATTTCTTTATCATTAGACCGGGATGGAGCATTGGTTTGGTAATAGAATCAGATAATCATTCAGCTGCTTAGTTAATTGAGCCAATGTTCAGTCACATACGAAGTTCTATATAAATAACATTCAAAGAATTGAATACTAAATTCTGGATATTGCAGCACTTTAGTCCTTCTAAAGTAAACTATCATCACAATATTGAACAACAAGTGAAATTAGTCCTTGCATGGAAAAGTTGTAATGAGGGCACAATGTATAACAGAATAAACTCATAAAACAAGCTTACCAGCACAAAAAAATGGTTCCCTTCGATTGGTTCTGAAGTTTAGCAAGTAAAATGCAATAAGTCTTGAAACCAAGAAAGCATGGTTCAGTTCACGAATTTGGGTGTTTCTAACCAAAATCAACTTAAGGGGCCGTTTCGATGCAGGATTTAGGATTGAGCTAAATCCAGCCAAAAGGCCAAAAATGCAAAACAAAATCTCATGGTAAATCTATGCCGCTGTTGACGGAAAGTTCCCTCTTTTCGTGGAAAATCTCGGATTTACGAAATCCTTTGGTTAGGCGGGTTTATCGTATTCTTGGCGCGAGGGAAAAAGAATCCCAACCGCAGAAGCGCGCGAAAGGGGAGAAATATCGTTACCTTAGCGGCAAGCTCCCGGCGCGACTTCCGATCCGACAAGAACAACGTCGGAGGAGGAGGAGGAGCTTGACTCTTTCAGAACTCTAGTTCACGAGAAGCAGTAACGAATAAATGCAGAAAACCCTAGACAGGCAATGGCAATTGACTCGCTTGAAGCTCTACCCACGCGAACCTGCGAAGCCGAAGAGGGTACCGCACGCTCACGCGAACGACCGCAAAGGAACCGAAGAGCCAGCCCGAGGATTAGACTCATTCCTAATTTCTTAATTAGAAATTAATTTAATTAGCTTAATTAATATAATTTAAAATATAAATAATTAATTAGGTGATTAATATTGTAAATAATAATTAAATAATTAAATAATTAGTTAATAATAGCCTATTAATTGATTGATTAGATACTTATAAGGATAATTAGTAATTATATAAATTTAATTACTAATTATCCTTATCTTTGCAATACTTAACTTAATTTTATGCTTCTCTTTTAATGGCCAATATTTTGTGCCATAAAGCATTGTAGGTTTCACCACCATTTCATAGAATTTTCTCTTACGTTTGAGGGGCACTTTTTTATCGCACAATATACCAGATGCATTCCTCCACTTCCAACCATCCAACTTGAATTCTACCAATAATATCCCCATCTATTTCACAATTATTTTGAACAATAAACCTGAGATATCTAAATCATGTACTCTTATCAATGACTTAATCGCCCAAATTCACAATCCCCCCATGATGCAATCAAAAATTTGGATTGCCAAGACACAAATCTTCCTTTCATAAAAAAACATAGACATAAAAAAAAATAGAACAAAATGATACTATTATATCCCAAACACAACCACACTTTAAAATAAACGGCACAACACCTTACAATCTTTTGTAGTTTTTAGAAGAAAGATACAATGGAAGAGATACCATGGAGAGAAGAATGAGATAGGAAATTCGAGACGAAATAGTAGAGGGGAAAGGGAAACGAAGCTAGCTCGCAAGCTAGAATAAAACCCGCAGGTTTTCTTTTAAAAAATCAGCACATATTTTCCTCCCTAAAATTTCCACAAACAGCCTTTATAAATAGAGAAAAAGGAGCCCAAAAGGCACCCAAGCAGCTGCCCAAAACACCCCACCCGAAAAGCCAAAGAATCTGGAAAGCCAAGGGATAATAGCAGGAACCGAACAGCCAAAACCCAGAGAATCGGGACAGCCAGGGAGCAGGAACCAAACAACCAAAGCAAGGGAACTGAGACAACCAGGGAGCAGGAACCGAACAGCCAAGAACAGCAACACAGCCGCCCCCCATCAGTCCAAATATAAAAAAAGGGGGTGGCATTGCTTACATCAATTCTCCCCTGGGAGAGCATTCTTATCTCCTGATGAGATCAAATCTAAACTTTCCTTATGCGTCGAATGAGCCTTATCCAACTCTAAAATTAAAGCCGCGTACTTTCTCTGGATTTTTTCTCTTTCTTGCTTAAACTGGATCTGAAGAAGTTGCTTTCTCTTTTCGTATTTTTCTGTACACAAGCACATTTTATGTTGAATTTTGTAAAGCTCGTTCTGTATGAGATCGGTAGAGCTTTCTTGGGATAGGACCCATTTGATTGTTGTAATTTGGATTTCGAGATTACTTGGTTGATTTTCGTCAACAATAGATTCTAGTACATCATGATTTTCCTTTTTTTGAAAGACTCAAAGAAAGGAAGACACACTACAACCTAAGGCTCTAATACCAATTTGATGGAACCAAAAATTTGGATTGCCAAGACACAAATCTTCCTTTCATAAAAAACATAGACATAAACAAAAATAGAACAACAAGATACTATTATATCCCAAACACAACCACACTTTAAAATAAAAGACACAACACCTTACAACCATTTGTAGTTTTAAAAAAAAGATACAATGGAAGGGATACCATGGAGAGAAGAATGAGATAGGAAATCCGAGACGAAATAGTAGAGGGGAAAGGGAAACGAAGATAGCTTGCAAGCTAGAATAAAACCCATAGGTTTTCTTTCCAAAAATCAGCACATATTTTCCTCTTCTTACCCTATTGTTTTGAAGATATTTCCACCACATTAAGGCATGACCCGCCAGTTTTAAGCTAGCAAACATACCTTTTTTGTTTTATGGGATTTCTTTTCATTCAAAAAATTGGTCTATTTTTTCTATCCATTCAAGAAATTATTTCAGATGCAGCTTACCTTCAAATTCTTTTACATCGATTTTAATTCCATAATCCCATTGTCTGTTTTGCCTATTTTGATTTCTAGGAATTTCATCTTCACTTTCAGAATTTGGAGCATTGTTCACATTTAAATTAGCCAAAGTGTTAGCCATTTTGTTCAATTGTTGTTATAAGTTAGCAAACTGTTGTATCATTTGTTGCCAATCCACTTAATTGTTTTGATTATTCATTTTAAATTTCTTTTTTTTAAAGGAATACTCACTACAATATAAGACTCTGATACCAATTTGATGCAATAAAAAATTTGGATTGCTAAGACACAAATCTTTCTTTCATAAAAAAACATAGACAAACAAAAATAGAACAAAACGATACTATTATATCCCAAACACAACCAAAGTTTAAAATAAAAGACACAACACCTTACAACCTTTTGTAGTTTTTAGAAAAAAGATACAATGGAAGGGATACCATGGAGAGAAGAATGAGATAGGAAATCCTAGACGAAATAGTAGTGGGGAATGTGAAACGAAGCTAGCTCGCAAGCTAGAATATAACCCGTAGGTTTTCTTTCCAAAAATCATCACATATTTTACTCCCTAAAACTGCAACAAACATCCTCTATAAATAGAGAAAAAGGAGCCCAAAAGGCACCCAAGCAGCCGCCCAAAACAGTCCACCCGAACAACCAAAGAATTGGGAAATCCAAGGGACAACAACAGGAACCGAACAGCCAAAACCCAGAGAACCGGGATAGCTTGGGAGTAGGAACCGAACAACCAAAGCAAGGGAACCGGGACAACCAGGGACCAGGGACCAGGAACCGAACAACCAAGGCCAGCAGCACAACCGCCCCCCATCAGTCCAAATATAAAAAAAGTGGGGGTGGCATTGCTTACATCAATTCTACCCTGAGAGAGAATTCTCATCTCCGGATGAGATCGAATCTAAACTTTCCTTACACGTCGAATGAGCCTTATCCAACTCTAAAATTAAAGCCGCATACTTTCTTTGGATTTTTTCTCTTTCTTGCTTAAACTTGGTCTGAAGAAGTTGCTTTCTCTTCTCGTATTTTTCTATACACAAGCACATTTTATGTTGAATTTTGTAAAGCTCGTTTTGTATGGGATCGGTAGAGCTTTCTTGGGATGGGACCCATTTGATTGTTGGAATTTGGACTTTGAGATTACTTGGTTGATTTTCGTAACCAATAGATTCTATTACATCTTGATTTTCCATTTTTTTAAAGACTCAAAGAAAGGAAGACCTACTACAACCTAAGGCTCTGATACCAATTTGATGCAACCAAAAATTTGGATTGCCAAGAAACAAATATTTCTTTCATAAAAAACATAGACATAAACAAAAATAGAATAAAACGATACTATTATATCCCAAACACAACCACACTTTAAAATAAAAGACACAACACCTTACAACCTTTTGTAGTTTTTAAAAAAGATACAATGGAAGAGATACCATGGAGAGAAGAATGAGATAGGAAATTTGAGACGAAATAGTATAGGGGAAAGGGAAACGAAGCTAGCTCGCAAGCTAGAATAAAACCCGCAGGTTCTCTTTCCAAAAACTAGCACATATTTTCCTCCCTAAAACTGCCACAAACAGCCTCTATAAATAGAGAAAAAGGAGCCCAAAAGGCACCCAAGCAGCCGCCCAAAACATCCCATCCGAACAACCAAAGAATCATGAAAGCGAAGGGACAACAACAAGAACCGAATAGCCAATACCCAGAGAATCGGGACAGCCAGGGAGCAGGAACCGAATAGCCAAAGCAAGGGAACCGGGACAGCCAGGGAGTAGGAACCGAAGAGCCAAGGCCAACGGCACAGGTAAGAATTTGGTCTCTCCAGATTCTCCCTCTCTATACACTCCAAATTGACTGTAAGGTGGGTATGAAGAGGTTGTTTGTGTAAGATGCCATGGTTTTGGAGGAAGGTATTAAGAGGTTGATTGATGTATTATTCCTCGCCATAGACAGTTTTTTTTGGATGAAGGTTTTGAAATTTATGAAAATAGATGTCATTAGTTTTAGATTTCATTGGAAATAACCACACATAACGCGAGTAATTATCGATAAAGATAGTATAATATTTGAAACCTTGAAGTTAGATAACTGAGGAAGGTGGTCCTGATACA